CGCCCGCAATACTTTCGTTTTCCATTCAAAGCTCCAATTAAATTAAACAGGTTCACACACCCCCTTTTTTTTTCAACTTCATTCTACTATTACTACTATTGTGATCTTTGCACCTAGCGTCATATCATATTTCAACATTTTGCGTGACATATAAAATCATACAGTATGGCAAGTAAAAACATTTCAAAACCAAAAGTTCAAAAAGTTTAAAAAAGTTAAAAAAAGAAAAAAGAAGTTAAAAAGTTAGATTTTCAAAAAAGCTTAAAAAGTTAGATTAGGGTTAAGGCTGATTTCCACTGTTGCGTTTTTCATACGTGCGTATACGCACGTAAAACTTTAAATCCGTTTAAATGTTACTTATGAAATAACCAAATAAGTTAAGCAACAGAATTTAGTGTTCCGCAAGTTTTAGTATGCATTTGTTAACTTATTTGTAAAATATTTAAAAAATAGAAGGATTCAAAGTTTTACGTGCGTTTACGTGCGTACGAAAAACGCAACAGTGGAAATCAGGCTTTAGGGGTTACAATACAATACAATACTTTAATTTCGCTCTCCCCCAGGGGAGCTTTTCAGAGCCAAATAAATCATGTTCATAAATTCGGACGTGTTTAACAATTTACTCATATAGTAAATTCAAAGGTGGAGCTCATGCTGAAATATATTGTTTAGAACATACCTGTTGAGTTTGAGTTTATTATTATTATTATTATTATTATTATTTTTTTGTTATTATTATTATTATTATTATTATTATTATTATTATTATAATAAATTCAAACTGAACAGGTATGCTCTAAATAATATATGATCATGTCAGCATGAGCTCCACCTTTGAATTTACTATACGAGTACATTGTTCAACACGTCCGAATTTATCAACATGATGAATGACGAGTTTGTCTTGATCTTTCGTGTTTTGTTTTGGCTTGCAAACAACGTTGAAAATTTATTTTTAAACGCTCTTTTTATTACGCTCTGCGCATGTCTGAATGCGTTGAGTCACCGTGTTGTACCACATGCCTTGGTGAGAGCAAGTTCATGGGGTATAAATACGAGTGTCTCACG